AAGGGGAAAAAGAGAGTGCAAAAATTTAGGGGGATAAGTCTGTTGAGTTAACCTGGTAAAGTGATATGGTAGAGTTATAATTGAAAGAATTAAGATAAGACGGAGAATAGGATAGCAGATGAACAAGAGGCTTTAGGAAAGAGTAGGGGGTGTGTGGACCCAGGTGTTTACATTTGAAACATATAAGTGAACAGTATTTAGATAAGGCTAAAGAGGTCTTTGTGGCATTTAATGGATTTGGAAAAGGCGTATGAAGGGTGGAAGGGGGGCAATGTGGCAGATGTTGAAAGTGTATGGTGTAGGAGGTAGGTTACTGAAAGCAGTGAAGAGTTTTTACGAGGATAGTAGGCTCAAGTTAGAGTATGTAGGGAAAGAGGGAATTTTTTCCCAGTAAAAGTAGGCCTTAGACAAGGATGTGTGGATTTTCACCGTGGTTGTTTTAATATATTTATAGATGGGTTGTAAGAGAAGTAAAATGTGGAGGTCTTGGCAAGAGGCGGTGGAGTTAAAAGATAAAGAATCACACACAAAAGTGGGATTGTCACAGTTGCTCTTGCTGATGACACTGTGCTCTTGGGAGATTCTGAAGAGAAGTTGCAGAGTTGGTGGATGATTTGGTAGGGTTGCAAAGAAGAAAATTAAAAGTGAATACAGGAAAGAGTAAGGTTATGAGGATAACAAAAAGATTAGGTGATGAAAGATTGAAAAATCGATTGGAGGGAGAGAGTATGAAGGAGGTGAACGTATCAGATATTTGGGAGTGGACGTGTCAGCGGATGGGTCTATGAAAGATGAGGTGAAATCATAGAATTGATGAGGAAAAAGGTGAGTGGTGCACTTAGGAGTCTGTGGAGACAAAGAACTTTGTCCTTGGAGGCAAAGAGGGGAATGTATGAGAGTATAGTTTTACCAACGCTCTTATATGGGTGTTGAAGCTGGGTGATGAATGTTGCAGCGGGAAGAAGGCTGGAGGCAGTGGAGATGTCATGTCTGAGGACAATGTGTGGTGTGAACGTAATGCAGGAATTCGTAGTTTTGGAAGTTAGGAGGAGGTGCGGGATTGCCAAAACTGTTGTCCAGAGGGCTGAGGAAGGGTTGTTGAGGTGGTTAGGACATGTAGAGAGAATGGAGCGAAACAGAAGACTTCAAGGTGTTCAGTCTTAGTGTAAGGGAAGGCGGCGTAGGGGGTCGGCCTAGGGAATGGTTGGGGGGAGGGGGGTACAGAGGTTTTGTGTGGCGAGGGGATGGACTTATGCGGGCATGCAAGGTTTTAATTGATAGGAGTGAATGGAGAACAATGTTATTTTATTGACGGTCTGTGCCGGGCGATTGAGTCTGGCCAGGAATACGAGTCCTGGAGATGGGAAATACAGTGCCTGCACTCTGAAGGAGGATGTTAGTTGACAAGACTTCGAAACTTAGTGTAAAGAGCCCACCTGCCTTGGTTGAAACGGCCATGGCTAATAATAAAATAATAAAAGTTTACTGAGAATACCAGAGATAAAAGTGTACGGAAGGGTTAATTATCAAAGAGAATAGAGGACAAGACAGAGGTTAGGGATTGCAGATGAGCAAGGAGGCTGTGAGTGAGTCTTTAAACAAGCTGGTGGTACGCAGATGCGGGGTGGCAACAGAGGAAAACAAAAGTTTCCATTGTTACTTTAGTAATGTACAAGGAAAGGGGTTATTAGGCAAGGCCGGCATTTTAGAGTCTGTTGGCAAAAATGTACCCGGGAAGAGGGAAGTAGAAGTATTTTAACCAACGTCTTATAGGTGAAGCATGGTGATGAAAATTTTTAGCGGAAGAAGCTGGGGGCAGTGGAAAATTCATGTCTGAGGACAATGTGTGGTGTGAACGTAATGCAGAGAATTCGTAGTTTGGAAGTTAGGAGGAGGTGCGGGATTGCCAAAACTGTTGTCCAGAGGGCTGAGGAAGGGTTGTTGAGGTGGTTAGGACATGTAGAGAGAATGGAGCGAAACAGAATGACTTCAAGAGTGTATCAGTCTGTAGTGTAAGGAAGGCGGCGTAGGGGTCGGCCTAGGAATGGTTGGAGGGAGGGGGTAAAGGAGGTTTTGTGTGCGAGGGGATTGGACTTCATGCGGGCATGCATGAGCGTGTTTGATAGGAGTGAATGGAGACAAATGGTTTTTAATACTTGACGTGCTGTGCTGTTGGAGTGTGAGCAGGCCAGACTTGAGTCCTGGAGATGGGAAATACAGTGCCTGCACTCTGAAGGAGGGATGTTAATGTTGCAGTTTAAAAACTGTAGTGTAAAGCACCCACCTGCCTTGGTAGGAAACGGCCAGTGTGCTAATAATAAAATAATAAAAAGTTTACTGAGTATACCAGGTAAAGTGTACGGTAGGGTTATTATCAAGAGAATTAGAGACAAGACAGAGTAGGATTGCAGATGAGCAAGGAGGCTGTAGAGTGGGTCTTTAAACAAGCTGGTGGTATCCCACTGATGCGGGGTGGCCCAACAAGGAAAACAAAAGTTTCTCATTTTAACTTTAGTAATGTACACAGGAGAAGGGGTTATTAGCCCCTTGCTCCCGGCATTTTAGTCGCTTCTTACGACATGTACGGGTTACGGAGGAAGAATTCTGTTCCACTTTCCCATGGAAATAAGAGGGAATAAACAAGAACAAGAACTAGTAAGAAAATAGAGAAAAACCCAGAGGGGTGTGTATATATATGCTTGTATATGCATGTTTAGTGTGACTTTAGTGTAAGTAGAAGTAGCAAGATGTACCTGAAATTTTGAATGTTTATGAGACAGAAAAAAAATAGCAGCAATTCTACCGTTATGTAAAACAATTACAGGCTTTTGGTTTACACTCACCTGGCAGGATGGTAGTAACTCCCTGGGTGGTTGCTGTCTACCATCCTATTACCTAGGTGAAGAACTCTTGATCCAAGTAATTAGAGCTACTCTCCCTTTCAATCACATTGATTATCTCCCGTTTCCTAGGCAATATATGACGCCTACAGTTTTAATACTTTGTTATGGTTACAATAGTATAATAATCACAGAAGCTATCACCACTTGACCGAGACAAATGTATTGAATGATTGTTTTATTATGCTTTAACAATTTAAAACTTATTTTACCTAAATGTTATGAACTTATGAGGGGAAAGTCCAAAGAAAGTGAAACACTCCCTGTGCATTGTTTCGTAAGTCATCAGCCCTGTGGCTGGGCTACAGGGTTAGAACAACTATGAGGTCTTGCTTTCATTTGACTAATGATAATGTTACATGCATGACCTCTGCCACCTTGGTCACCTGCAATTCTGTTAGTCCCTGTCTTTAACCCTTTGAGGGTCGACAGGCCCTCTCTGAGACTCGTTCTCAGGGTCAGCCAAATTTAAAAAAAAAAAAAAAAAAATTTTTTTCTTATGAAAAGATAGGGGATCTTTTCCCGATCATAATGACACCAAAAGTATGAAATTTGATGGAAAACTTACGGAATTATGCTCTCATGAAGTTAGCGGTCTCGACAATGTTTACGCATCGGCGATTTTGCTCACTTCGAGCCCCATTTTCGGCCAATTCCACTGTACTTGTTTACATAAAACATGAATATTTTGCTAGAACTTCATTGTTTCCATCGAGTGAGTGCAAGAAACCACCCATTTACCAATTTCAACTATCCAGTACAGTGGTCAGAATTTAGCAATTTTGCTAAATTTCAAAAGATGCCAATTTCCGAATAGGGTCCAGAATAAATAAGAAAGACTTTCCTGGCACTAAAATGACATTTCCTCTGTTCATTAGTCACGTCTCAAGGCCCCTCTTACATTCTTTTGCTTTCCACTTTGAATTTTTATTCTCACAGAAAATAGAAGATTTACTGTTATGCAGACTACTGCATTAGTGTAAAAAATGGTATAAATAATATTGGCACACTTGTGAAAGAATATTAGACTCACTTGTTGACGTGCATTGGACGCTTGGCATGATTTGTTTATTTTTGTTTTTTGGGTAAAAATCGAACATTTCTGCTATTTTGAGTAAATTTTTAAAGGTTTTTTTCATTGAAAAAAACCAGTCAAAATCACCCAAATTTTCGTAAATTCTTCCTTCTATAAAATGAGACCAAGAAAACTAGAATACAAACAATAAATACCAAACGAAAATATAGGAAAAGTCGCTGTTTTATTCCAAAAAAACGGTCAATTTTTTTTTTTTCATTATGCACTGTGTCTGCAGGTTTTTTTTTTATCTGTGCACACGACCACATAGACCCATTTTTTCATTGTACCCCCCACCGTTTTCCCCCACTAATTTGGGGCGCTAGAATTTAGGCGTACAGTACTAAAAAACCCGGGGTCAAACCATACTAGTACGGCTGAAACCCTAAAGGGTTAAATTAGTTCTCTCAGTAAAAATTTCGTTTGAAGATGCTTAAGTATGATATTGCTCATCTGCTGAATTTTTTGTCATCGCATTTTGTAAGAAAAGCTTGTTACAGTCAGTACTATGAAAGGGGTTTTTAATTTATGTACAATAGTAGTAGCATTTGTATTGCTTTTTCCAAAAAATACAGGGGCCCCCCGTTTAAACGATCACCCCCCAATCGCCATTATGTAATGTATTATATAATGCATTTGAGTGTTTTTGGGGGGTTCTGAAATGGACTAATCTACTTCACAATATTCCTTATGGGAACAAATTCGGTCAGTACTGGCACCTGAACATACTTCTGGAATGAAAAAATATCGTTAATCGGGGGTCCACTGTACATACAATGCTAATTTACGCTGTTAAGAGAATTGAAAAATATTTTTTTTGTTTGCAACATCAAGTGACATGCATTATTTTCTAATATTGATCAATAACAATGCTATTAAATCATGTTAAGCATCTGTAGGTGATATTTATATATATAAAAAAAAAATTAAGTAGTACAGTATTTGCAATAAATTAATGTTTTTTCTTCCATGTTTAATACTTTTTTTTAATCAAGAGGAATTAATTTTTTTTTGTCTCAATTCAGAGAAATTGCCAAAGCCAAGGAAAGGCTTTCCAGAATGGAGGAGGTGATGGAAATGATTGCAAATGCCAAGAGGAACAATCAGAACTTGAGAGAAGTCATCCCACCAGACTACTTGGCCCTCCTGGAGGAAGCTGAGGTTGTTACTGCCTTGCTATGTTTTTTTTTTTTTTTTCTTAATTAAGATTTTTTTATTAACACATCGGCCGTTTCCCACCAAGGCAGGGTGGCCTGATAAAAAAAAAATTTTTATTATTATTATCACACTGGCCGATTCCCACCAAGGCAGGGTGGCCCGAAAAAGAAAAACTTTCACCATCATTCACTCCATCACTGTCTTGCCAGAAGGGTGCTTTACACTACAGTTTTTAAACTGCAACATTAACACCCCTCCTTCAGAGTGCAGGCACTGTACTTCCCATCTCCAGGACTCAAGTCCGGCCTGCGGGTTTCCCTGAACCCCTTCATAAATGTTACTTTGCTCACACTCCAACAGTACGTCAAGTATTAAAAACCATTTGTCTCTATTCACTCCTATCAAACACGCTCACGCATGCCTGCTGGAAGTCCAAGCCCCTCGCACACAAAACCTCCTTTACCCCCTCTCTCCAACCTTTCCTAGGCCGACACCTACCCCGCCTTCCTTCCACTACAGACTGATACACTCTTGAAGTCATTCTGTTTCGCTCCATTCTCTCTACATGTCCGAACCACCTCAACAACCCTTCCTCATTATTCAATCCATCACTGTCTTGCCAGAGGCATGCTTACACTACAGTTATAAAACTGCAACATTAACACCCCTCTTTCAGAATGCCACTGTACTTCACATTTCCAAGAATCATGCCTGGCCTGCCGGTTTCCCTGAATCCCTTCATAAGTGTTACCTTGCCTTGCTTACACTCCAGCAGCATGTCAAGTCCTAAAAACCATTGGTCCCCATTTGCTCCTTTCACGTATGCTTGTGTGAACATGTTACAGATTTGTACACTCTCTAAGTCATTCTATTAAGTTCCAGCCTCTATATATCCAGTCCATCTCGGTAACCCCTCCTCAGCCCTCTGGATAATAGTTTTGGTAATCTTTCTACTCCTCTTAATCTCCTGACTACAGATTCTCTGCATTATATTCACACCACACATTGCCCTCAGATATGACATTTCCACTGCCTCCAGCCTTCGTGTTGCAACATTCACCACCCATGCCTTACACCCATACAGGAGCATTGGAGCATTATTATAACTATACTCTCGTACATTTCTCTCTGTTTTTATGGGTAAGGTTCTTTGCTCCACAGACTCCTCAATACACCACTCGCCTTTTTTCCATCGTCACTTCTATGATTCTCCTCATCTTTCAGGGGGTTGTGCTTCAATGTCGTTCCCCTCCTTTATTTTTTGCCCAATTTCTTTTATTTTTGGTGTACATTTAGAAGTGCCAACAAACAACAGAGAACAAAAATATTTGCTGATTTTGACATATGGCAGCATGGCATGACAAATTGGCACCACGAGTGACACTTCTGACAATTCTAACTGTTAGAATACGTCTAAAAGGAATATTTAATGGATACAATTCATCTAATATACCTTATTATTTTGGTGAAAAAAAATACATTTGGTGTGCTTTTTTGACATTCACCAAAATATCTGCCTTTTACCCACCACAAAATGAAAAATATTTGAGATATTCCAAAAAGTTCACTTTTGTCAATTCAAACACACTTCATTTTATATTGTCTGTGAAAATCATTTCAGTCCAATCATTAATAATGGTCCAGTGACAAGCAATAGACCAAAATCCTAGTTTCGAGATATTCAGGTAAACGCGCGGACTAGCTAATTACGTCAAGAAATAAAAAAAAAATGACGATAATCGCGCTACTTTGGGTTTATGCGATAGAAGTGATTTCTTTTTGTTTCCCTGTGTTAAAAACACCATTTTCTGTAGTGCTACCAGAGGTAGCATAGAAAACCCTTCTCTTATAGGGAGGATTTAGCGTAATCATTTCATCAACTTCGGCCACCACCTCCAGGTATAATATACAAATATTATTATTTTAGCTGGCTTTCTTATCTTTTATCCAAGTTATATTATGCATACTATCATTACTGAACAAATGATATAAACAGAAAAAGGATATTAGTAATAATAGCGTCAGTATAAGACATCTTGTGCGTGGTGATCAGATTGTTGTCATGGCAACTGGTTGTTGCATCATCATTCAAGCTTCTCCCTCTTCTGATATAAGCTCCTCCTACATTGTAATGATATTAAGTGGTAAATTTAGTGTATTAAAAAGAAAAATAGACAGAAAATTATAAAACAAACAAAAAATATATAAAAAATTCACCTCGCACTTACGCATATATTTACCTGGCAGGTCATCACCTGACATGTTTCTAGTAGCTATAATTTGCTTTAGAAACATCGTATTACAATGGGGTTTTCACCAAAATGTTCCCAGATACTTAAACTATTTTTCTGTAAACAAAACCCTAAATCATATTTTTTTGTATATTTATCATGACCGCGTCGAAATTGAAGCACAAGCCCCTTCATAGACCCTAGACCCATCTGCTGACAGATCTACTCCCAAATATCTGAATACATTCACCTCCTCCATACTCTGTCCCTCCAATCTGACATCCAATCTTCTATTACCTAATTTTTTTTGTTATCCTCATCACCTTACTCTTTCCTATATTCACTTTTAATTTCCTTCTTTTACATACCCTATCAAATTCTTCCACCAACCTCTGCAACATCTCTTCAGAATCTCCCAACAGCACAGTGTCATCACCAAAGACCAACTGTGAAAACCCACACTTTGTGTTAGATCTTTATCTTTTAACCCCACACCTCTTGCCAACACCTGAGCATTCACTTCTCTTACAACTCCATCTATAAATATATTGAAGAACCATGGTGACATCACACATCCTTGTCTAAGGCCTACTTTTACTGCGAAATAATCTCCTCGCCTACATACTCTAACCTGAGCCTCACTCTCCTTGTAAAGACTCTTCACTGCTTTCAGTCACCTACCTCCTATTCCATACATTTGCAACATCTGCCACAATGCCCCCCTATCCACCCTATCATATGCCTTTTCCAAATCTATAACTGCCACAAAAACCTCTTTACCCTTATCTAAATACTGTTCACCTGTATGTCACTGCAAACACTTGGTCTACACACCCCCTACCCTTCCTAAAGTCTCCTTGTTCATCTGCTATCCTGTTCCATAATAATCTAAACCCATATGAAAAAAGTAATATTGCCATTTGTTTGAGAAAGTTCATCATTTATGTGAATAAAAATACAAAAATACCGTTTATTTTGTGTTTAACTTATAAGCTGAATTGGTCAAACAAATCAAATTGTTATACATTTTTTTTTTAATTTATGCTTAGATACATGTAAGTAATTTAACAAGTCATTCAAATTGTGAATAGTGCACTAAAACTAACGAAAATCTTTCTTGAAAGTAATATAACACATAATGTAATTTAGTCCTACCTCTGTCTGTTTATGGTTTTCCTAAATTTAATTAGTCATCAGGGGTTTCAAATAGAGCTAAAGAAGAAGTAGCAATAATGTTGAAGGATAAGTTATTCAAATTCAAATTCAAAGTTTATTCTCTATAAAGATTACAATGTTGAATTTACAGAATTTGGTTGTTGTGTGGTTTACATGTAGTTAAATAATGATTACAGAGTGTACCACTAGAACACCTAGCATGGCTAGGCATTTCGGGCAGACTTAGTTTAATTCTTTATTTTAAAATATTACAAATTATGAGGCAAGTTGGTATTATGGCTAAGTGACTAAATACTAGTTTGTGAGTTTAGCAATGTGAATGCTTTTGTTTTGGCACAGTACATAGTTTCAGTATTGGAGTATCATAGGATTCATTATTTTAAGATTGAGATTAATATTTCTGTTTATGGTCAAATGGGTGAGTGAGTGTAAGTGTGAACCACCAGGTGGTATTCGTGTAGTTAGTTGATGGGTTTATCAGGGAGTAAGATGTTTTCTAATGGTAGTTTTGAAGGTGATGAATGTGTCTGCAGTTCTAGAGTTCTCAGTAGGGTGTTCCAGATTTTAGGGCCTTTGACATACATTGAATTTTTGTAAAGGTTTAGTCGGACATGGGGAATGTCGTAGAGATGTTTGTGTCTGGTGTTATGCCTGTGGGTTCTGTCACGACTATCAAAAAAGCGTTTTAGGTCAACGTTGATATTGGAGTTTAAGGTCCTGTAGATGTAGATTGCACAGTAGTAAGTGTGGATGTACTGAACAGGGAGTAAGTTTAGATCTATGAAGAGTGGGGGGGTGTGTTGCCAGGGATGGGATTTAGTGATTATTCTTACTGCAGCTTTTTGTTGGGTTATTATTGGCTTTAGGTGTGTTGCTGCAGTTGATCCCCAAGCACAAATAGCATAGGTGAGGTATGGATAAATAAGTGAGTGGTATAGTGTGAGAAGGGCATTTTGCGGCACGTAGTATCATATCTTGGAGAGGATCCCAACTGTTTTGGATAATTTTTTTGGTTATGTGTTGGATATGGGTGCTGAAATTCAGGTTGTTGTCAAGGTATAGGCCTAGGAATTTGCCCTCATTATGTCTGGTAATTAGAGTGTTGTCGATCTTAATGTTAATTTGTGCATCTCCTGCTCTGCTACCAAACATAATATAGTAGGTTTTGTCAGTGTTAAGCGTAAGTTTATTGGCTCTCATCCAAGTCGATATTTTGATCAGCTCCTCGTTAATAATGGTGTTGGGGTGGCAAGATAGGGTGAGAGAGATGACATAAGTCGTGTCGTCAGCAAAGAGAATGGGTTTCAGGTGTTGGGATACGTTTGGAAGATCATTGATGTATATGAGGAAGAGCAGGGGACCAAGGACACTTCCCTGCGGAACTCCAGTATCAAGTGGCCGTGTTGTTGATGCTGTGTCTTTAATGGTAACATACTGATACCTATTAGTAAGGTAAGATTTGAAATAAGCAAGCGCATGGCCTCTTACACCGTAATGGTCAAGTTTTGTGGAGTAGGATGTCGTGGTCTACTGTGTCAAAAGCTTTTCTTAGGTCAATAAAAATTCCTAGTGGATATTCCTTATTTTCCAATGCTG